GCCCATGGCCCTGGGATGGTGGCCCATAGCCCTGGGATGGTGGCCCATGGCCCTGGGATGGTGGCCCATAGCCCTGGGATGGTGGCCCATGGCCCTGGGATGGTGGCCCATGGCCCAGGGATGGTGGCCCATGGCCCTGGGATGGTGGCCCATGGCCCAGGGGTGGTGGCCCATAGCCCAGGGATGGTAGCCCATTGTCCAGGGATGGTAGCCCATTGGTAGCCCACCACCCATGGCCATCCCAGGCCCTTACTGGGGTCACCACGGTCCAGCCAGGCCCTGTGCCCATCCCCCCCCCCCCCCCCTGCACCCCCCAACAAACCCAAAAACCCCGGTTGGGATCCCCAAATCCCAGAATCCCCAAATCCCAGAATCCTGAATCCCAGATTTGCAAATCCCAAAATCTCCAATTACAGAATCCCAAAATCCCAGAATCTCAAATCCCAGAATCCCCAAATCCCAGAATCTGCAATTACAGAATCCCCAAATCCCAGAACCCCAGAATCCCAAATTCCAAAACCTTGAATCCCACAACCCCAAATCCCAGAATTTCAAATCCCAGAATCCCGAAATCCCAGAATCCCCAAATTCCACAATCTCAAATTCCAGATTCCCAAATCCCAGAACCCCAAAATCCCAGAATCTCCAATCCCAGATTCCCAAATCCCAGAATCCCCAAATCCCAGAGTCCCAAATTCCAAAACCTTGAATCCCACAACCCCAAATTCCAGAATCTCAAATCCCAGAATCCCCAAATCCCAGAATCCCCAAATCCCAGAATCCCCAAATCCCAGAATCTCAAATCCCAGAATCTCAAATCCCAGAACCCCAAAATCCCAGAACCCCGAATCCCAAATTCCAAAACCTTGAATCCCACAACCCCAAATCCCAGAATCCCAAAATCCCCAAAAATCCCAAAATCCCAACTGGAAAAGGAGCCACCACCGTCCCTTCCGGGGTCTCGTCCCTTCCCCTGCTCCGAGCCCGTCTTAATTGCCTGCGTCATTAATTAATTACAGCGTGTAATTATTTATTCCCTCCCGTTTTCCACGCAATCCTGGGATTTTCCCCAAGGTTTTTTTTTTTTTTTTTCCTCCCCCTCACGTTCCAGGCTCGCAGTGGGAATTCCCTTCTTGGAAACTTTGTGGTTTTTATTTATTACCCGTTATTTATTTAATTTATTTTTATTTCCCTTCCCTTTTCCGCCATCACCACCCCATTTTTTAAATTTTATTTTAATTTTATTTTTTTTTTTCCCCCTCCCGATTATTTCCGTTTTTAATGCCAAAAATCCCAATTTCATCCCAAGGATTTGGGATCCTTCCAGCAGCTCCCAACTCCTCCGTGCATTTTGAGACTTCTTAAATGCTATGCAAAAAAAAAAAAAAAAAAAAAAAAAATCAAAACAACCTATTTTTAAATTTTGTTTTATTTTTCAAAGAAAATCCCTATTTTTTTCATCTCCCACTGAGCCAGGCTGGCCAAATCTCCCCGTTTTTTGTAGAAAATTCGGGAATTTGGAGATGATTTGATGTCCCTGCCCAGCCCCTGGGGCTTTTTTTTTTCCCTTTTGTACTGAAAAAATGTTTTATCCTTTTGTAAAAAAAAAAAAAAAAAAAAAAAAAAAAGCAGATTTGGGGTTTTTAGCTCAAATAAAGTCGTGGTTTTGTTCCGAGCAGCTTCGCCCCGGGGTTCTCGTCTCGTTTTTGGGGTCGGGGTCGGGGATTTGGGACCCCCGAGCTTGGAGGGGGATTTTGGGGGGATTTGGGGTATCGGGAATGGGGGGGCAGAGAATAAATGGGGTCACGGGGGGGATTTGGGGGGGATTTTGGGGGATTTGGGGTATCGGGAATTGGGGTTCAGGGCAGCCCTGGGGTCACAGGGGGGATTTGGGGGGGATTTTGGGGGGGATTTGGGGTATCGGGAATGGGGGGCAGAGAATAAATGGGGTCACAGGGGGGTCCCCACAGCTCATCCCGGATTTTGGGGATCCTGAATTTGCTCGTCCCGAATTTGGGTGTCCCGGATCTGCTCATCCCGGATTTGGGGGATTCTGAATTTGCTCATCCCGGATTTGGGGATCCCGGGGGGTCCTGAATTCGCTCATCCCGGATTTTGGGGGTCCTGGGGGGGTCCCGGATTTGCTCATCCTGGATTTTGGGGGTCCTGGATTCACTCGTTCCGGGTTTTGGGGATCCTGAATTTGCTCATCCCGGATTTGGGGGGTCCTGGGGGTTCCCGGATCTGCTCATCCCGGATTTGGGGGGGTCCTGAATTTGCTCATCCCGGATTTTGGGGGTCCCTGGGAGCGGGGGGGTCCCAGCTCAGCTCATCCCGGTTTTGAGGATTTTGAGGGTCCTGAATTCGCTCATCCCGGATTTTGGGGGTCCTGGATTCGCTCATCCCGGATTTGGGGATCCCAGATTTGCTCATCCCCAATTTTGGGGGTCCTGGGGGGTCCCAGATCTGCTCATCCCGGATTTGGGGGTCCCGGATTTGCTCGTCCCGGATTTTGGGGATCCTGAATTTGCTCATCCCGGATTTGGGGGGTCCCGGGGGGGTCCCGGATTCGCTCATCCCGGATTTTGGGGGTCCCGGATTCGCTCATCCCGGATTTTGGGGGTCCCAGCTCAGCTCATCCCGGATTTGGGGGTCCCGGATCTGCCCATCCCGGATTTGGGGGGTCCCGGGGGGTCCCAGATTCGCCCATCCCGTATTTTGGGGGTCCCGGGGTGGGGTTTGAGACCCCCCCATGTCCCCTCCCCGCCCCCCGCCCTCCCCCCGGGCGGTTTGGGGGTCCCGGGGGCTCGGAGCTCCCCGGCAGATGGGGCCGGGCCGGGCTGGGAGCCCCTCGCCATCTGCCAGGGGGCTCCGGGACCCCCAAACCCCGCCCGGGGGGAGGGCAGGGAGGGGGGAGGGGAGGGAGAGCGATTTATGGAAATTTATGGGAATTATTTGTAGGAATTTATGGGCATTTATAGACATTTATGGGCATTTATCGACATTTATCGACATTTATCGACATTTATAGGAATTATTTATAGGAATTTATAGGAATTATTTACAGAAATTTATAGGAATTATTTGTAGGAATTTATAGGAATTATTTATAGACATTTATAGGAATTATTTATAGGAATTTATAGGAATTATTTATAGAACTTTATAGGAATTTATAGGAATTATTTACAGAAATTTATGGGAATTATTTATAGAAATTTATAGGAATTATTTATAGACATTTATAGACATTTATGGGAATTATTTATAGAAATTTATAGAAATTATTTACAGAAATTTATGGGAATTATTTATAGGAATTTATAGGAATTATTTATAG